GGATATGATCTCCAATGTCAGTCGTAAAATCCTTGTGTAACGTTTTGCCCGATGTAATTGCGCACACACATCAGGATTAAGGTCAGTTGGGGCGATTTGTGTATGTGGGTGGATGAATATCCATAACTTTGTCACATAATTACTTACTGAACGGAGGATTGCTTCTTACAAATACGTTCTACGCCACGCTCTTGGCTTGTTGTCAACGGGGCTCTGAATGACAGAAGCGATAGCCACAGAATGTAAAAAAAAAATATTTTTAGTTGGTAATTGGTGAATATGCCAGGGTCGGGATCCTTTTTACAATTCCGGGACATTATTAAAATGCCCAAGATATTTTAAACATTTTTAACAGAAAATATTGTCTAGGTTTTTTTAAGTACCAAGAAAGTTCATTTAGAAGTTTAGTGTTGTTCCGATTTTTATTAAAACTTTTGACATTTAGACATTTGCAAAAATTTTTGTATTTACAACTTTAAGTGCTTTCGTTTAAAAATACTAGTTTTCCTAAACAAAATTTTGTGATTTGTGCTTTAAATTAAAAGTATTGGGCCCCAAATTTTAGATTTATTAATAATTCTGCAATTAAGTGTGAGAACTTGGTGGCAGAATACACTAACTTAACATTACAGAACTTAACAACTATACAAACTCTACAAACGTTACAAAATCACATGAACATTTCACCGTGCAATGTTTCATAGAACTCCACTTCACCAAACTTCACTTCACCACACTTCACTGCACTGCGATACAGTTGCACAACGTCACTGCACTTCACGCCACTGAAGATGTTTCATTATTTGCTATTATTAACAGATTTTTTAGAATAGACACTAAATTCTAATACAATATTGAAATTAATGTAATGAATCTTTATCTGCCGTAAAGTGTTCATTATTTCACTCTAAATAATTATTATGTAGAACTTGTCATTTTCCTTGAGTCACATCCCTCACAATTTAAGTTTTCGACATGTATCCTTGCTGCTCTAATTTTAAGGTATGCCTCAATTTTGCAACTCATCTTTTCAACCATACTGATTGTTGTGATTCGGATATTTTCTGCGTAAATTCACTCAATTGTGAATCTTTAAATAATGTCACGCACCTTTTAAAAAACTTAGTGATAGCTGAGCAATAAATAAAACTAAGAGAACGAAAAGTTTCTGTGTACCGCACATTCCCACTAGTTTCAATATCCATTAAATATCCAGAAAACTCGAACTCTGTTAGAAGAGCCACGCCAAGCGCCAGGAAACGACAACGCTTAAACGCTTACAACAATTTTACTCCGACCCAATAAGTAAATATCAGCTTGCGCTTCTACTCCAACATAAACTACCGAGACGGGACGGGGACTGCGTCAATATGAATCTCCGAGAGCCCCCACTTCCTCCGTAACGTCTTCGGCACAAAAGCAACGTTACGAGGAACGCGAACGATGATATAGCAGACTTACAGCGCCGTTTCATAAAGAGGGAGCTAAATCCCGCGCTAGGGGACATAAACCTCGTTGTTTCCTCATATCCCGTGATGCGAGAGGTATAAAATCCGGCCCGGTTGTCGGCGGTGACGCGCTTGCAGAGGCTATCCGAATCCGCGCGGATGAACGCGCTGCGACGCGCGAGGTACTCGACGAGACGCGTGCGGGACGTCTGGGCGGGAGGGAAAACGCGCGTGGAATGGTCAGTGACTTGGCAAGGCTCGGCATAACAGACTGTAAGGTGGAGCCTTTCCTATAGAAATCGCCCCCCAAATGAATTTTTAAAAAAATTGTATTTATAAATGTTATTTATTATTAAGTTCTTTCTGAGTTACATACACCGTAAAAAGAACTGTTGGAGTATACCAGATTCATGATACTGTAACAAGTTTCCTTGTGACTGTATCATGGATCTGCTTTTTTTGTATATATATATACACGCGGACAGGCCGACATGGACCATGCAAATATCACTTTATGTAGTTTCCTTCTTTCTCCTCCAGACGTCCTTCATCCTGTTAGACTGCGCAGCTCTTCTTTCAGCAGTCCATTCTCATCTGTTTTTCTTTAATGACTTATATTATGTAACAATAATATAAATATTTTTCTTTGTCAGTTCGATATCTGACAAATTGTCCGTAACAACTTGTCTGTACCTGACAAATTGTCCGTAACGCATTTGAAGCTGTTTGCAAAGGACACGGAAGAGAAAAGCGTTAGGCTGTCACTTCATTCCGCCATAAAGCCTGTGTACATCGAGGAGGCGTGACGTCATCCATTTCCTGCAGAGGGTTACCGGCAGACGAACGTTGAATCTAGGCAGCCTTTAAGGGTGGGGTCTAGGGTCTGTGGAAAGGCGTGCTCGCCAGATAGTTTTACCATGGTCCTCAGCAAGTAGCATTGAGCATCAAATAGTTTTCCAAATACGCGGTAGGAGCGCTACTCCCTTAAGCGTGCATCGGAAGCGAGAAGTCTACGTGCTGTAGTCCTTGTTATCTGAAGACATTACGCAATGCAATGCAATGCAATGCAATGAAATGCGATGCAATGCAATGCAATGCAATGTAATGCAATGCAAATGCATTGCATTACATGCCATTGCAGCCTTCCCCCTTTGGAAGAACATGAGCCGCGACTGTCAGTGACTGACTTGTACACCTGAAACTTGTACAATGAAACACCTTCCGTTTGCTATTTACGTTAAAGTTAGTTTTAACTAGTTAATACACTTCTTTTATTACTGAAGTTACTTTTGCATTCTTCGGGTCTTACTTTAATGAATGTTCTTTCACATTATGCTTTTAACGAAACGTTATCAATGTTGTGCAATCATGTTGTATACATTACTGCATTTGTGAATACAAGTGCTGCAAATGTCTAATATAGCTTCTAGAAAACTCACAACGTTCCTAAGAAAATTAGCTGAAAATTCCGTATTTTTTGAAAGCGCTCAAAAGCCATTTTCTTGGTAACGACTCCCATTTTATTCAATATTTTTGCACGGATAGTGCTAAATATATTGAATAACATGACTTCACGGAGTTTCTATTTATGTTTTTATTTTTTTTAAATCTACAAAAATTGTACACAATTTTACAAACGATAGCCCTGACTAAAGAGATTGGAAAACTAATTAGTACGAGAAGGTCTATAACATTCTTAGAAGTAGTAGTTATCTATGAGATATGATACATCGAAGTCAAGCTATTAGGAGTCGGTTCGTCTATTATGGTGCTCATGTGGAACATTGAAAGTTCTCAAACACTTCACATCAGAAATACGTCATGTAATAAAACTCGTAATAGGAGTCCAATTATATTGATATCTGTCCAACACTCTTCAGGATCTTGATTGTACGGTCGTACTCGCAGATGCTGTAGTAAAGGGTAGCATGTATGTCAATTATCTTTTATCAGAAATCGTTGCGCAGGAAAGATACTGTTTCTTCACGACGACTTTAGGAAGAGGCATTAATGTCCTGTAAAGGAAGCGATGCGACAAAAAGTACCAAGGAAAACATCTGAGAGTCATCGCCAAGCTGCAAACATTTCAGATAGGAAAAATGGAATTTCTAAAAACCTCTTTCACTCGATACTAAGTGATAACATTGTTTCCACTTAAAATTCTAAAGTTGAAGTTGTGATATATGCTTATATAAAAACAATTAACTGATGATGCAACCAAAGCATTGGATTGTTGCATTGCCGAAGCATCAAAGCCATTCGTCTTAACCATTTTTCGTTCGTTATGGTACGTATTTAGAGATGCCCTAGGATGTTATTAATTAACTGAATGGGTGAAAACCATAACGGTATAAATGTCATTTTAGAATTTCTAATAAAATTATTTATTTTCTTTGTGTCGTCATTAAAACCACAGCATTTCAATTGTTCATTAAAACAGCGAAATTGCACTGAAATATAGCCTAATATAAACGGTTTTTTCTCGAATTTTATAAAATGTCACTTATACCATTCCGGTTTTCACCCATTCAATTAAGTATCGGTCTACATGAGCCATAAACACTCTTGGCAGAGAGAAGTCGGCACACAGGTCCAGATTCAGACAGAGAAAATGAAAAAAGAAAGACAAGGGAAGATAAAGGCTCACGGCCACTCTGAAGGTGTGAGAGAAATAAAAAAAAATTATGCAAAAGAAAGACATCAAGAGAATGTGTGAGAGGTAAGAAGAAAGCGACAGAAGTATAGCAATGACAGAGAACGAGGGAGAAATAGTTAATGAGTTAGAAAGAGTGAGAGAGTGAGAGAGTAAGAGAGAGAGAGAGAGAAAAGTGAAAGAAAAAACATCGGTAAGGGGTCTAGTCACATTATTATAGAGAGTATATGAAAATAGGTACACTGAGATAAAGATACGTAACTCAAAGAGAGAGAGAGGGAGAGAGAGGTAGAGAGGGAGAGAGAGAGAGGGAGAGAGGGAGATAGAGAGAGAGATAGAGAGGGAGATAGAGAGGGAGAGAGAGGGAGATAGAGAGAGAGATAGAGAGGGAGATAGAGAGGGAGAGAGAGGGAGATAGAGAGGGGGGAGAGAGGGAGA